AAATGTTTTTAATTGTGTACCAGTTTAACGTTGAATATTATTTATGATTTTAACTCACTACAATGTTTAGATCATTATAAAAACAAAATATTTATTGAATATTCCGTTAAGAGGGGCTAGCAAAGGAATATTCTGGACAGACATTATCGTCAAGCCCTAACACAGATGATTAAATAAGCTCAACCAACCTTTAGATAATGGAGACACCATATGAAGACTGACAAATGCGCTCCCAACACCATTTCCGAAAATCGTAACCTTCTCCGGATTCCCGCCAAATGCTTGTATGTTCTCCTGAATCCACTTTAGAGCTAACACTTGATCAAACATTCCATAGTTTCCAGGAGAGTAGCGATCTCTGGTGCTAAGAAAACCTGATGAGAAAATAAGGAAACATAAAACGAAGAAATAACAAAATTTTCAAAATAAAACGAAAAGAGGGGGAAAAGAATATTGTAGGCACGATCACCTGAACATGTTATGAATATGGTTGGTGAGAGAACAATGTATTTGCGTTTTCTAGGGACCTTTGTTGTAGTTCAAGTATAACCGTTTCTGACTTTGAACTGTGGCTCAGAGGGAAGACAACCTGTTGGTAGACCAGCTGGATACCAGGATTGACTACCACTCTTATAACGCACCCACATCTGAAAGTGCGAAGCGTGTTTCGAAGCATCATGTCTTGAACCCTAGACTCTCGAATCTCTTGGACCCCAGTCCGATACGCTGTCTACTAGGTCACGCTCGGGACTATTCTATTTGAAAATATGGATACACATCAAAAAACGTTTCGTGTAGCTTTATTATTTCATTAACAACATTTGTGAAATGGTCGTATTTATGGTTTTAAGAACAGTGGATGATAACTTTTAACCATAGCTAAAAAAACGTTTCACACACAAAAAAAGTTTACGTTTCGTGCAGCTTTATTATTTCATTAACAGCATTTATGAAATGGCCATATTTATGGTTTTAAGTACAGTGGATGATAACTTTAACCCTAACGCATAAGTTTCTAAAAAGCCTAAATGGTCCACTATCTTCTGATTTTTTCGAGAGAAAAAAAACACTTTACTTTCATAGGTTTTTAATACTTTCATTTTATAAATTTCATTTAGGCTAAAGTAAATAACCTAAATTATTTAAGTGGCGGAAAAAAAGGCTTCCCCTCTCACTCGTAGTGCTAGCTACCGACCCTGATACGTACATTTTGTTACATTTTTAAACACAGCACAGAAACTCTTATATTAATGAGTACAGTGCATAAAAAAGCAGGACAGGTAATGTGAAAACTATAAGTTCAGGTAAGGATGTCTTTGTGTTTCGAAACTTAAATCAAAATATACATTTTCGTTAATTTAGTTAGAATCGATTTGTAATCTGAAATTAATGTATGCTTCTCTAATATAAGAATGAAAAACAGGAGAACAAAGAAACAATGAAGAAGAAGATTTTTATTAAAACAATAGGCAACATAACAAAATATTTCCTTCATTTAGTTAGGATAGAATTAGATAATCTGGTAGATTCTGATTGCGGAATTAGATAATAAATGAAAGTCTTTACACACAGCTTCAAAATAAATCTTAACTTCCAACACGGTTGTTATGTCACGAATATAAGCGTGTTATTATTTTATGTTGGGCGGGAGATGAGGGCGGGTGTGGTCTGGGATTCATGGTTCGCTGCCGTGTTTCAAACCTATCGGTTCGAAATTAGGGACATCTATATGCGAATAGGTCTTGTGCATTGTTGCCAGAAATTCTACAAGATAATTTCTCTTATCTCTACAAGAGATAATTTGTTGTTTCGAAAACCCTATTCCACAAACGTAGGATATCTGTATTAACCAATGGGCTTTGTAGTATTAGCCACTGACTTAGTAATTTGTAAAATGTTATACTGTATAAGCACTTTTTATTCTTCTAACAAGTACAGCTCAATAATAACATGATAAATTGTGTACACTAAAGTTTAATATACTGTTGCGTCAGCGAAGTCACATGACTAGTGTCACGCCAAGTTTCTAGAACTATCCTGTACCTTGGCGAATGCCCTAGCATTTACTAGATATAGGGTAGTCGGGTATATAAAAGAGAGTGACAACGTGACGGGACAATAATGTGTGTGTAGATAGTGAGTAATTGAACTGCAGTCAGAAGTATTGTTGACGTTCGTTGATATAGCGTTTGTTATTGAGCGACTGTTGAAAATAAGTGTATCCTAAAGTTATATTCGGAAAGAATAAACCAGTTTTATTAAGTAAGGATTTGTGTCGCTAAAGTTTCGTCGGAACGAAGTTACGGAAAGTTAATTAACGAACGGAGACGTAACAATACCAATGTACAAACTTTTCACATTTCGGTTCCTGTGAAATGTCTTATTTTCTTACCACATTCTGTACAACTAATACTTGCCAGCTTCTGATGTTTTCTGATAAACGTCAAGTCAAGAACTTCTGTTTTACCTCACACTCTCTTTTAAAACAAAAAAGAAAAATAATACGATGTCCTGATGAGGTAGTTGGAGTTGTTAAAAAGTGGCCTACTAGAAATAATTAGCAGTCTGACTCTCTAGTTTAGTTAATAAGGCATTCTCCTCCAGCTTCATGAGATAGTTTGAGTTGTTAAAAAGTGGCCTACTAGAAATAATTAGCAGTCTGACTCTCTAGTTTAGTTAATAAGGCACTGTCCTCCAGATTGATGAGATAGTTTGAATTGTTAAAAATGACCTACTAGAAATAATTAATAGTCTGACTCTCTAGTTTAGTTAGTAAGGCATTCTCCTCCAGCTTGATGAGGTAGTTTGAGTTGTTAAAAAAATGGCCTACTAGAAATAATTAGCAGGTTAACTCTCTAGATTAGTTAGTAACGTATTCTTCTCCCGTATAAAAGGATTCAGGTCCACACCCACTAAAAGTAAATTCGAAATTATGACGATATGTCTTATATCAGTCTAATATCATTATAATGATGTATATTATATCAGTTTAATATTATATCCTTTATTTATTGTAAAACTTGGCAATACTTTAAAATGAGTTTACAGAGCCACCTTTTTTAACTGCTAAACATAAAATATTAATGCTGAAACTAAAAGTTAATATTTCTAAACGAATATAAGAAATAACCCACCTAACGGGCCCAACCGATAGTTCATCGTAACAACCACGACGCCCCCTGCTGACGAAAGCCATTCACCTGGGTAGAACCTACCACCGCTTACCTCGTTAGACCCTCCGTGAAGATAGACCATAACGGGTATGGTTTGTGTTGACCTCTTTGAATATTTCACACCCTCAAACACGGACTGAAAATCGCAAATATAAAATGAGTGCAAAGAAGTACACCATTTTTTCAATTATTTGATGTTCCATCATTAGCTCGAGAACTTATGAAAACTGACACTGAAATTAGTTGATCGTGAACTTTTTCAAACATTTTTTTTCTGTGTAACATAATTTCCGTCATTCATTTGTATGAATAAACATAAAAAATAAATATCCATAAACTTTACACATTAGCATATCGGTATCTAGGCTTCTACCCCTGTAAAACCGCGTTTCTTCTGAAGCAGTAAGAAGAAGAAGAAGAAAAAAAGGAAACCAGAATATTGAACAAGTAACGAGTCAATAAAGTATCACAAATAAGAGTACAGTATAAGTCGTACATACCTCAGGGATGTAAATATTTAAACTCAAACAATCTTCACTCTGGCGATATTGATTAGGGGGAAGTACGTTTATTAACTTGCTTTGTTTTTTGTTATTTATCAAATCTTTGATCTTGAAGCGATTGTGTTGAATGCAAAGTGGTCCAAACTCTGTTGCGCTTAAGATACCTGTCCAAGGGTCTTTTCGAACAGGAGCCTGTGAGAAGATAGAATTAATAAATTATTGTATTAAACTTTAATCGACTTCATTATTTTGAAGATAATAACTAAAGCTTTCAAGAATGACTAAACAACCGATTTGTCTAAGCTTCATAAAATATACCCAGCTTTATATACAAAATATGAATTATAGTAATAAAGTATTTATTTTTTCACAGTTAACATCCCAGTACCTGGAAAAACACAAGAGTATGTAGCGGTGTTTATCAAAATATAAGCCCGGCATGGCCAGGTGGTTAGGGCGCTCGACTCGCAATCTGAGGGTCGTGGGTTCGAATCCCCGTCACACCAAACATGCTCGCCGTTTCAGCCGTGGGAGCGTTATAATGTGACGGTCAATCCCACTAATCGTTGGTAAAAGAGTAGCCCAAGAGTTGGCGGTGGGTGGTGATGACTAGCTGCCTTCCCTCTAGTCTTACACTGCTAAATTAGGGACGGCTAGCGCAGATAGCCCTCGTGTAGCTTTGCGCGAAAATTCAAAACAAACAAATTATCAAAATGTATTCACTAACCTTGAACCTGCGGAGGCCGACGGGGGGCTCGGCATAAGGGACATCCAGAAACGCCACCACTCGTGCGTTACTAAGAAGATCAAGAACAGTACCTCTAAGTCGACCATATTTTGTTTCTGCCACTGGTAACGTTTTTGAAAAATTTGCTGCTACAGGATTCGATTGTAATTCTTCTGTGCTCGTACATTGCCGAATTAGCAAAATAACGTTTAATAAAAATGTTAATCTAACTTGTATGTTTAAAGTTTTCATGTTGGTTGCTAGGGCGTGAACATGCTCACCTCGTCGAGTCGTAGAACTTGTATGATATGCGGTTCATCAATATTCTATCTTGATCAAATCAACCAATCGCACAGAGGTTTCGATATTCTTCTTTCGTGCAGATTGAATTCAATAACATGCTTACTGTTTTAGTGCTAACCCCACACGGTGGAAAAACTTGGGAAAAGTAGACGTATTGCGAACCTGGGGACCTCCCTATCGACCGTCTTTTGAAGTTAAGCGAATAATGGTTGTTGTGACGTAAAACTATATCGCGCAAAAACACTTAAAGTACCTGATCCGAAACGCGCTCTGGTTTCTATTGACATACTAGATTGCTCGTTTATTCTAAACTGCAGAATAAACTCAAGTACCATGTAAAGGGACTTCATCAAGATTCCTTTTAAGTTCAGTGGACGGCGCTGTACAGAGATCAAATCGTGTACTCGTAGAGCCAACAAATACAGCACGTGGAAATCGATTGTTTTCCCCTATAGTGGTTGTTTGATTGTTTATTTTAGAGCAAAACCACGTTAGGCTATCTGCTGTATCTACAACGAGGAATCGAACCCCGGTTTTAACGTTGTAATTCCATAAACATCTTTATCCCAACGGGGTGACTTATAATAAAAAATGAAATATAATAATATTCTGAAGTTTCTTGTATATCTAAAATAACAATAATCTGTATTTGATTTCCAGCAAATAAATTATATTCATGAAAGAAAGTAAAGCGAACCGAGACAGTCAAGAGAGAGAGCGAATATCCTAGAAAAAGTGACAAGACCACTCGTTGGTAAATCGTCAGTAACTCGACTTAACAAAGTTCAGTTTATCATGCAATGATACAAGTTATTCATATTTTAGTTACGTGGTTACAGGGATAATAACACCGCTGGTGAAGTAGAGTATAGAGAGAAAATCTTGGTCGAATGTCGTCACGGAATTTCTTTTAATGCATCAGTAACAACAAATCTTATGGTCATAATTGTTACTAATATTGCTAAATTTTTACGGTGATGACTTTTCTATGTTGCTAATAATTGGGTGGCAACTATTGTTGAAGCTATATGTTATCTGTTTCAATATAATTGGCTCTCCAGCTGCTCAGCGATAAGTCGGTAGGCTTACGACGCTAAACATCGAATTTCGATACCCATAGTGGGCAGAGCACAGATAGTCCATTGTGAAGCTTTGTATTTAACGACAACCAAACCAATATAATTGTTAATAATATAACTAAGCTTTCATAGAAGACAACCATTTGATGAGAACTTATTTCTTCTGGATCAGTAGCAAGAGAAATGACACAGCTAAACTTTGAGAGGTAACAAAACAACGTTTAATGAGACTATACTTATCCTAATGTTACGTCTCCGTTCGTTAATTAACTTTCCGTAACTTCGTTCCGACGAAACTTTAGCGACACAAATCCTTACTTAATAAAACTGGTTTATTCTTTCCGAATACAACTTTACGATACACTTATTTTCAACAATCACGCTAAAACAAACGCTATATCAACCAACGTCAACAATACTTCTGACTGCAGTTCAATTACTCACTATCTACACACACGTTCTTCTGTCACGTTGGCACCCTCTTTTATATACCAGACTACCCTATATCTAGTAAATGTTAGAGCATTCGCCAAGGTACAGGATAGTTCTAGAAAATAGGTGGCGCCACACCAGTCACGTGACCTCGATGACGCAACACTAAGTTACTGATCATTTATTTTCTGCCGCATACATTTTGCTTGCTAAGGTGTCAATTGTCATTTTTCGTTGAAACAAACTAAAATGTTTTGTTGTAAAATAAAACAATAGCTAAAACAACAATACCTTGAATACTCCAATTTATGTACAAAATAATCGTAAAATACAGTGGTCTTGGTTGGTAAGCGACGGGTTTTCTGTCTTATAATGCTGAAATCTAGGGTTCTATTCCACGCACTGAACAGAGATAACCCACTGTGTTTAACTAAAACCAAACCAATATTTTAGACTAAACTAAACATTTCTAGTTATCATACCCAAATATCTACTTGGATCAACGGTTTCGGGTATCACCTTGACAAGGACCAGTTTTGCTTAAAGTCATACCCGAGTTTCTTGGTTTTAGAAAAATAACTGCTTACGTTTTTTTTTTTACTCAAATATCCGAAACCGCTATCACTTAATTACTGATAATTTAATATAGTTTAATATACCTGGTACTCATTTAAACAACACTGCCTGCCAGCATAGCAACAATGACTGTGATGCGCAATAAAATACTTTTTTTGTCTCCTTCTAGTGGCTAAATTATAAATTTCAGAACAATTGTAGTAGACTCCTCCAATATTAAGTCACTCAATATGCTTGAAATAATACAGAAGTGGACAAAGGTAATGAAGATATAGAGACAGTTATATATATATATTGATTGATAAAGCAAATAAATGGGTTTCTACTTCCTCAACTAAAGAGACGAGATGATGTTTAGGACCCTAATTTTTAATCAGTGAGACTAAAAAATAATTTAAGCTGTGGGAAAGTTATGTAAGTAAATGTCAATCACGACATTCGGTTCAAGAAGTTGGATAAAGTCCTCGTGACGGTGGATTCTGCTGGTTGGCTGCCTTCTCTCTGGTCAATTCTAAGAGTTTCTCACCTAGCTTTCTAACCCATGCACATAAGGTTTAGGTTGAAAATGCAAACTCCATTAAAAATAAACGCTGGCAAATAATTCTAGACATGGTGTCATAATTGTCACCTTTAAAATATATTGTTATGTATCTGCTTACAGGAAGGAAATTTTTAGGTAACATAAAATATGTTATTATATAGGTTATTGAGACTTACACCCAACTTTGAGTTATTGAGGTAGTATTTTATATATATATTCCACAAGACAGACACAAGTCTTCTTTAGTGGTGCTACCTCCCTGTGGCTTAGTGGTAAACTTGAGGGTTTATAACATTAAATTTGGAGCTCGCTACCCACGGTGAACACAACCCAGATAACCCCGTTGTGTAGCTTTGTGTTTAAAAACAAATTAGCCTTTTATACCTATGGTTTCCCGGTGGGACAACGGTATGTTTTCGGAATGACAGTGCTAAAATCAGTGGTTCGATTTCCCTCGGTGGACACAGCAGATAGCCACACGTGGGTTTGCTATAAGAAAGCATACACACTTATACCTATGTTACAAAGGATATTATAGTCATACATGTCAAATTATTGAATTAGCTCGATTAGACAGGAAAAAATAAGTGACAGAATGTCAGTGGGTCTATCATATTCATAAATCAACAAAATGAACACATAATTCTTATAAAAATCAAGTTAACTGCAGACTTTTTTTTCACATTTCTCTTAATTTGTTCATGTGTATGTGTGAGAGAGGGACATTTGTTTGTTTGTTGGTTTGTAGTTAAGAGCAAAGCTTCAAAACGGGATATCTGTATTTTGCCCGTGGTGGGTATCGAAACTCTGTTTCTAGCATTGTAAGTCCACAGACATACCACTATGCCACTAAGGGGGGGGGGGGGTGCTGCAGTTAACTTCATTCTTGTAACATTATTTAGGCTTATTGGTTTTCAACAGTTCTCCAGCTTTCGGCGTTTTAAACTGTAAAGTTCGAAACATTCATTTCTCCCAATTTAATAAAAGAATTCAATTAAAAAATGCTTCGAAAACTGAATGTTTGAAAGTGTCATTCAATAATAACATATTTTCTGGCATATTGTACAATTACATAATTGATAAGTTATTCTAAAATAGAAATATTTCTGCCTAAAAATAAGATTTAATTTGTGATCTAACAACATTCGTCTGTGTAACTGTTATTTCTACTTTCTCTGAACAATTACTATACCACAACTGTTCTTTTCGTCATTTTATTTCTCCGGCAGATGGCGAAGACCGAAAGTACTTGCTGTTTGGAGAAATGACATCATAGTGATCAATATCTTACTGTGTTGTATAAACGTATGGTATTTCGTAAACAGTGATTAAACATTTTAAATATAAATTAACGTCAGAACTGGGAAGAGAGAAAATTTAACATTTTGGACCGAAATGGGAGCTGTTTTAGGAGTTTGTACAGCTGGCCAAGTAAGTAATTTCTGTGAACAAATTAAAATGCTATAAAATATATTATTAGAAATAAGAAAATAGTATTCAGCATAAATAGGACAATGACATTTAATTTGTAGGCTTAGAATTTACAATACACTGGCGTTAGGCCTACGTTGTACTAATACTAGTAATACTAATAGTAATAGTTGTACTAATATTAATACTAAGAGTAGTAGTAATAGTCGTAAACTCGTAGTCGTAGCAGAATAATGCCTACGTACTAATATTAATGTGATAGTAGTAAGTAGTAGTGCTATTACCAGTAATACTAATAGTATATTTTTTCGTTGTGCTATGTGCTCAGAAAAAAGAATGGCGAAGTATGGTGAGACAAATCATTCAACTTGTCCTTAACCTTATCCTTTTTAATGTCTGATGACAGAGATGTTAATAGTTGAATAGTAGTGATGCTGTTAATGTGGTAGTACTAGTAACACTCAAAGTATAACTAGTAATAGTATAATAATGGCTGGAGACGGCTTAAATGGGTAATGAAGAAAAACTTTAATATAAGTTTAACATGACAGCAAATGTACAACGTTTCGACAAGGTTTTGTCATCATCATTGATAGTATATACAGGCAGAGCCTCTAGAAGATCCTCAA